CAATTTGAATATCGAGTGTACTGGAGTATTGTATAATAAAATAATTAGTTTACTATATATATAATAAAATATAATAAAACAATATAAAATAATATAAAATATAATAAAATAATATAATAAAATATAATATAATAAAATAATTAGTTTACTTGTTAGACGTTCAAAGAATAAAAGGTACGCGTTAATTTGTTATATGCATTCAACGTCAAACTTTTAGACTTTTGGTAATTTTAAGCATCCAAAGTATAATTTGATATTGTGAATAATCATTTCTATATAGTGCAATTTTAATTTTTTTTTTCGTACAATTTTATTTAAATTAATTAATTATTAACGTAGATACAAATCGGAAGTAAAAAAGAGTAAGATTTATCTTGAAGAAAATAGAATTTAAACATGTTTAATTAGGAACTAGTCTGGCACAAGTAATAAATTAAATTTAAGTTTCTAGAAAATACATTCTCCAGTACAATTGTTATTAATTTCTTCTCTTATTCAATTCCATTATTTCTTTGAAGTGAAAAAATTGAAATTTGTCTTAGAGTTGTAACGATGGCCAGGAAGAGAACAAGGCAAGATTTTCCTTGGACGACGCGCTAATCTCTGGCAATAGGGACAAGAAACACAACTGTGAACATCTCTTACGTTCAAACATTGCAACGTTGCTACTTTGGACTCGAGATGTTAAGGGAATGACAACAGGTTTGATTATTTCAAATTTACTTAAACAAAATTTATTTGTAAATTTATTTGTATTTATATCTTATGATGATATTAATATTATACATTCGTAGAAACTAATTGATTTAATACACATATAAACTAATTAATTTATTAGTCAATCATACAGTTATCATTATGAGTACACTATTATTATTAATACAATTGAAATAAATTTTATTCGCTGTACTACAAGTAAATGGTAATAATGGTACGTACAAAAAAATGTAGAAAATGGTCTAATTTTGTCTAGTGAATTAATAACGATCCGCCAATAGTGTTTCAAATATTTGAAATTTGAAAAGAATAATACTTCGAATATAAAGACTGACATTCTCCTTGCAACTAGGAACATTATCGAACGCGAATTTCACCATTCCATCGCTGTTTGGGTTCGAAGAGTCAGTAGGGCTTTCCAGAGAGTTCGATGAAATTGACGAGAAAAATATGAGGCCGGAAGTTCGTAAAGTCAGGCCGGAAATTCGCAGCGACTGGCACGTTATCGACTTAGGGAAACCCACTAATCGCGTTTCCTCATTGATGGCCGCACAAAATACTCGAGAAGACGGTGAGTTTCTTTTCATTGCGAATATATAAAACGACATGATACGATGCAACGTAACATATAATACAATGATACAAAATGTATAAATAATACAACGCAAAATTATGATATTCAGTTATAAAGTGTATTACATCACGTTATGCTATAATAAAATAATAAAATATAAAAAATATAATACACGAAAGTACAATATAACGTGATATACAATGTGAAAATATATGTGTAATATATAATTACGATATTTAATAATGCCAACATTTTTAGAAGGGAATTTCTCGAATTGTTAATACATTCGTCAACTTGACAAAAACGACATTGACTGCCGAGAATCAATTTCCTACAGTGCATGTTTCATTTGCTACGAAACAGATGAAGCTGCGTGGAACGTGTTCGACGTGTTCTCGAAAATAAGGCTGGTTCTGTTTCGATC